TCTATAGTATTAGAAAGACCAACTATTTCCTACATTGAAAATTCAGGGAAGGTGTTAAATGTATACCGGACAGTCATGCATACATATGTGGCTAATCAATTATGATGCCAACTAAAAATGTAAACCATATGTTGCTTTTAGTATACAGAAGCACAAAAATATGTTCAACTTGATTACTATATGAATAAGTACAAATCATAATCGTGTTGCATATAAAAACATGATGTATTTGATCAAAAATGTCACAACGAGTTAATTTTCCCTTGATAGAAGCAACCAACATGGACCATCTTTATTCAATTATCACAACACTACAATTAATTATCACAGTAGTGTTGCACATCAAAACTCAAGATAAAATAAAAATCCAGTCATGTGAAGTGCAATAAAATAAGTCACCTAAAGTAATTACAACATAAAATAATATAGAAGGTGCAATTATGTCAAATACATATGAGTAGAGAATAGCCACTTACATATATTATAAAAATTAATAAATGCATGTGTAATGAAGAGATAAATAGACTGAAAGGGTACCTTAGTGGCATCAATTCGAATAGCCAGCACGCTTGCTTCCAAACAAACAACTTTTCAGTTGGGCCCCATTCAAATCTTCTATTGAGTAAGCCAGTTCTTCAAAGTTGACATTCAGGTCAACTTTTATCTTCCTCGAAAGGATCTACAAACCCACATCAATTAAGCTGCTAAATAATAGTAATTAAATTAAACATATGCAACACAACACAATAGTTCCAACTGCAAAGAGACGTGGATTCCATCTCTCACTATCTCATACCTGCAAAATGTGGGTAATTGCTTATACAATTAGGTGAGAAAACTCAATTTTACAGTCATTGCTTCTTTGGTTGGGTGAGGAAACTCAAATTTACTGTCACCTGCACAAAACTAATAACTTTAACAATGAGCATCTATTTTTTAGCATCTTTTTAAAAAATAACACAATATAAACTACAAAAAATTATATAAAATCATGTACTTTACCAGCCCCCAAAGAAATGGCAAAGACATAGGTAACATGTTCGTCTAGTTTTTTGGTATATGCATCATGGAATTTAACAACTACGCAGGCAAGGAATGGCTTCACCCAATTGAAAAAAGAAAAAAGAAATTGATGTCAGATAAGAAAATTATATAAAAATTGTTACATCAATCACCTTAGCAGCTAAAATTAATTTTTTCAAGAATCCACAATAAAATTATAGAACATGATGAATACAAAGCTTTTCCTTTAACTTTAATTCTTACTAACCTTCTATGACACCAATTTAGGTTTAGATAACAAAAATTAGGAAGTATAGATCAAGAGCAAACCCACTACTCGAAAATACCTCAATCTCAAAAGCAATCGATTAGACGATTTACTGCTAGGGTTTCAATTAGGGTTTATGAATCAAAAGAGAACATAATGAGAACGTAAAGAGAGTAGAGATAAGATGAAAATAATGATACAAACTGGGAATCAAAAGGCAAATATCAAACCTGGGAACACAACAAGATCATGATGAGGTAGTAGGTTGGCTATTCAATGGTGGTAGTGAATCCGATAAATAATGGTGACGGCTATGAATTGTAGAAAGAGGAAGAGATAGATAGGTAAGATGGAAAACGATGAGGGTTAGGGTTTAGAGCAATAGAGATCAACCGGTGATGAAAATGGAGAAAGCTTAGAAGTGGAGCAACAAATCCCTCCATTTCTCCGTAATTATGGTTTTTCATTCAAATTAGTGTTGAATTTCAACTTGGAAATACCGGCAACAAAGAAGAAAATCTCGACGTCTACGGTTTTTATAGAGTGGGGGAAAGAAATTTGTTTTAGAGAGAGAGTTTGTATTTCAAATTTTGAATTCAGATGAACAAATGAAAAAGATATGCAGATGGTAGAAGGGAGAAGGGAGGAGTGGTGGTGAAAGATGAGTGTTGCTAGGGTTTATTTGAGAGAAGGGATGGTCGTAGGCGATGGAGCACTCAGCCGGATGTTGGTTGTTCATGTAGATACCAAACAAAGAATCGAGATATATTTGCATAGATGTCAGGATTAAACATAGACTCGGTCATGATTAAAAGGGCCGAGTCAAAAAGATAGTGAGAAAGTACTTATGCATTACTTAATTGTAATTAGTGTTAAGCATGTTGTATAACATTAAATTTAATATTATTTTATTAATAATTGTTTGTACTTTAAACTTAAAGATTTGAAATTCTTAAAAAAATATTATTATTATATTGAATCTATTTATAGAAATAGTGAGATTTCTTTTGTAAGATAGTAAAGATTCTGACAGAATATAATCGGTAAAAATTGAAATTGAATTAATTAAAAAATTCAGATTTTTTTAAATTAGGAGAATTAATCATCCCTAAAAATCCAAAAGATTTCCTTTTATAAATGTAGTTAATTGTCCAAAATACCATTTTGCTAAAAATTGTGTGATTATATGGTACATGTTACCCCATTGTAATATCATACACTCTCAAATTATGTCAATTATTAATTCTATCTGTTGGTTTAGATGTATGCATTCTGGCACACGATACTTAGTAAAAACAAAATAATATATATATATATATATATATATATATATATATATATATATATATATATATATATATATATATATATATATATATATATATATATATATATATATATATATATATATATATATCACCTTAGTCATTAACAAGTTTTATTAGTTGGTGCACGATGTATATAAGAAGTTGTAGCATCATCTATATGATTTGGTTGTTATGTTTATAGTTATTAAAATTATTAATAGACTAATAATATTTAATATTATATATTAACAAACAAAATATAAGAAGTTTAATTTTTTTAATTTAACTCTCACATAAATTGCACATTGATACGACAATCAAAATCTTATAAACCTTTTATAACCAATTATAAGGTTAACAAGTGATAATGACAACATATTTTGTATTCATATTTAGCCAATAATATTTTTTTTATACATAAAAATATTAAACTTGTTTTATGTAAGAGGCGGTGTGTGATGACCCACTTCATCTATGCTGAGGGGATGATGACGTGCCACTTCCTGTAAGGTATCATTACCATCTAAGGCTAGTAGATGTGGTGTTATACTTGCCACGGTCCACGTAGACGTCACGTTAGTTTTACCATACTTTAGCAAAAACTGGTCATTTGCATGGTACGGGTTGTCACATTTGTCATGCTATTTTTTTTAAATTAATATTGAAAATAAATATTTCTTACATATTATTTTGTTAAAAACTTATATTTCATTCAACATAAAATAAAAATACAATACACCAAAAAAAACTTCAAATTACAAACCTAGATATATAAAAAAAAAACAAAACCATGAAAATTAAAAAAAACGAAAGCTAGATGTTATATTTTTTTGCAAGCTCCTTTTTGGTTTTTATCGTCATTTCCCGTTCGCGAACGGATAGCTCGATTATGGGTCTCGTTAAGATGGGGATGACATGACTTTTTTTATTTCTCTTGTGCAAGTTCCAAGTATTGTTCCAAGGACGACTTCAAATTGTCCATTTTTGTTATTAGTTGTCGCTGTAACTAGTTGTCGCCGCTTTCCCCTTTCGCTTGGCTCAGTCTCTTCTAATGGGACGAGTGACTCTTGGAACCTAAGTAGGCTCCTATTCATTGAGGTCAATCTCAATATGCGCATCAGACGATAGATTATGTGTCGTTTCAGATATTTTGGTTCTTTTTGAAAAACCACCCGTAAAAGTTTCAGAAGAGCCGACATCTTGCCATTTTTTTTTGACAATTTTACAATGTTCCAAACATGTAGAAATTTTAATGGTGCTCCTTTTTTATTCTGGTACATTTCAAGAGCTTTTTTAGAAATGTTTTCGTCGTTTGCATCACTTTGTCATTTCCGTTTCACACTCAAAAACACACTGTTAAACTCCCTCACAACTTTGTTGACATCTCGCCACTTCGAATCAACTTGGTATTATTCCAATAATAACCAAGATTCATCTCATTGGGAAAATGCCGTGTGAGTTTCTGGAAGAAAGTTAGATAATCTTGGTTGTTTCCGATCACCGGATCTTCGAAAACATCCACCCACGCACGAGTTAACGCCTTTTCTTCGGTTGATGCCCGTTGTTTTGGAACCACCCTTCCACTTTTTTGTGTTGTGGACAATTTTATTCCGGGTCCGATTCCGTTTCGGGGACGACTTCGGGTTCCGCTTGACATGGAACTTGGTTTTGGGTTTCGAAATTCATTGACGAGCCGAGAATATCATCAAATGGATTGAATTCATTGTCCATTTGAGATGAGAAATTCATTTGTGGTTGGTTTTGGAATTAAGGTTGGTTTTGGTATCGTGCTTGACCTTGAAATGGATAGTATACTCCACCAAAGTGTAAATTTGGTGGAGAATAAATAGCGATCTCGTTGATTTTGAACAAAGTTTAGAGAAGAATGTGAGATGTTTGGATTTTGGGTGTTTTTTTTGGTATTTTTTTGAGGTCTTAGGTTGGAATGAGAAGCCATTTTTATGACAAAAAATGAAGTGTTTGAGTTTAAAAATGAAGATGATAAAGTGGTTTAAAATATCAGAAATAGTTGTGTTTATATATGGTAAAATTGTAGGTGTAACGTCCCAAAAATAAGACCTAAATTTTTTATTTTTAAAATTAATAAAACGGTAATCCAAAACATTTTCATACAACCAAGAGGGATCAAAGTGTATCGCTACATCATAAAATATCAAAGTAAATCACAAAATGCGGAATGAGGTGGTGTGTGCTCTGCAATCATCCCAAGTTCTTCCCTTTTGAACTAGAAGTACTTAATTCCAAAAAGACCCAATTCCAAAAATGGTCACCCAAGCCTAATTATGGCCCAATCTTTCAAATTAGGCTCAAATTCCTTTGTGGGACTTCAACCAAAAGAACCCAACATAATGATATCAGCCCAAAATACCAATCTAATAGCCCAACAAGACCCTAAACTCATAATGTCCAAACATGCGCCCAAAACCGAGAAGCCCAAAATTCAAAGCCCACCTGCTGAGTACGTGGGGGCGTACTCAACACCCTTTGGGCCTAGTACGCATAGTGTACCAGCTTGGTACGCCTAGCGTACTCCCCAATTAACGACCCTACTTCATTAAGCACTTAATACATTGAGACTTCAAGCCAAACTCTCGTACCTGATTCTATTAGACCACTTATCACGTAAAGTTGGCAACTTTACACACATGCATGACTTAATGGGCTCAAGAGCTCAAAGTAGCTTAACAAGGGTCTTAACACGTTCAGTAATATAGTTGAGTGGCTCACTGTTTTGGCTAACTGGAGCAGTACTTATAGGTGACAAAAATGGCTTAGAATAATTGGTTATGGACTAATGTGGTGCCTGTGGAAGTTTCGAAATGATCGTATCTTTTCCTAAAGATTCATATGTCCCCTCAAGTGTTTTGAATATGCTAACTCGGTGGTTCATTTCTGAATTAGAAGTAGGGATAAAGGTGGTTGTTGTGGATGGAACGAGTGGTTGATCTCCCCCATTCACTTGTTTCTAAGGCTTGAGGGAGTGGTGCGGTAAGGGAGTACAGTCTCACCACCGTAGCAGCGGAACACCGCCCCGTGGGTGCGGTGTAGGCCGCAATGTGGTATAAATTCGCTGCACTCTCCACACACACACACACACTCTCTCTCTCTCTCAACCAATCTCTTTCTTTTCTTGCTCCTTACCTTTTTTCTCACTCCCAACATGCGGTTTTAAAGTGTTAAAATGAAAATAAAAATTATGAGTTGGCGTCTAAGTGACATAGGAGGAATTATGGTTTGTAACTAATTTGCTCCTGGTTTTCCTTCTAGCTACTTGCTAGTGGGGGACTCCTTTTATAAAATTTGGCTTTTCAAAAAACAAATAAAAAAAATCTAAAGATAGATTTTGATAAACCAAGTTAGAAACAATAAATATCATAAATTTTTAAATTGAACTTAATCTACAATTTTACATTCTGTTGACCGAATCAATCTTAATTGTTAAGGTGATAAACGTTATTATTATGTATTAACAAATTCCCCTATTTTGTGGCCTAACTTTATTCAAAGTTCAAATTGAAAAATCCAAAGTAATGTAAAAGAAGACTACGACATTCTCTTCTCTCAAAAATTAAAGGAATTAAGGGGAAAAAGAATGAAATAACACAAAACTGCGAAACTTTATTTTACTTTTTATTACTCCGCCGCACTACAATATGCGCCTCTTATTTAATACGCATTCTTTCTCAAAGATTCATCTCCGGTGACTTCGTTTCACGCTTTTCATGATTATATTTGTAGTATCTACTTCATATCCTTACAGTCATTCAAATTCGCCTCCGACTAAAGCCTCCTCGATTCAGTAAACAGGTACAAGTTCGATTTTGAGTAATTCAACCACGGATCTTAATTATAAATCATCGTTTCAATTTTGTTTCATATGCATGAACGACATGTGCAGAAAACCGATTGGTTTCAAGCAGATTAATTAATCATGAAAACGTACATATAGCAGTTATATGATCGATTTATTCAGTTTAAAGGCATTTAGGGAGACAATGGGTAAGGGTTTATGGTAAATCAGGGAATTCGTTCGTAGTGTGTTCTTAAACCCTAGGTGTATAATGCATGCATATTTGTTGAGCTTTTTTCTGTAATTAATTCCTTCGTGTATTAATGCATGCATATTTGATGCACTTTTTTTTTTCTGTAATTAATTCCTTGATATTGTCGTATATCAGTAAAGTAAGAACTGTTATAGCAGAATAATTAATGCTCAACTTTACTTTTGATTACCAATTCGGTTGCACCCTGTTTCGAGATTCGATATGTGTAGATTTCTCTGGTACAACTTGTTAATGCATAAATGTTTGATGCAATTTCTCGCTTTAATTCCACGGTATTTGGATCATCAATTGGTACGATATTTGGATTATCAGTTGGTAAGAACAGTTTTATTAAAAAAAAAAATTAAGAAGTTAAATCTGCAACAATAGTTATCTTACACAATTTTGCACAATCTCTTCGTGTTAGATTGAATATGTGTTCGATTTTCTTTTTGTATAAATTTGGTATTTGTCAATTCTGGATGTGAAAGTTGCTCCGTTTGTAATGTATATCTGATTTGCAAACCGTTTGATTTGATGAAGATCTAATTTTCGTTTTTTCAGAACAAACATGGTGAGCGCAAACGACGATGGCAATGGTGGACAACGAAACAACACCACTAACCTGAAAAAACGATCGTGTGGATGCGTGAAAGATGATTTCCTCCCGGAAGAATCATTCCAAAGCTGGTCAAACTACGGGAAAGCTTTACGGGAAACCAAAACACGTCTCAAAGATCGTATTCTTTCCCGATCATCAGACCAGCTTGAACTCCATGACATGCGAGCTCGAAGCCAGAACGAAATGAGAAAGACGTTAAACTGGTTTGACCTAATTTGGTTCGGAATCGGAGCAGTCATGGGCGCCGGAGTTTTCGTTCTCAGTGGTGAAGCCGCCAGAGATCTCGCCGGACCTGCTCTTCTCTTATCCTATCTCATTTCCGGTTTTGCCGCTTTACTCTCTGTTCTCTGCTACACTGAATTCGCAGTCGAACTTCCGGTAGCCGGTGGCTCATTCGCTTACCTAAGAGTTGAACTCGGTGACTTCATCGCTTACATTGCTGCCGGAAACATCTTATTCGAATACGTAGTTTCCGGCGCCAGTGTCGCACGTTCCTGGACTTCATATTTTGCAACTTTATGCAATCATCATCCTAATGATTTCCGTCTGAACGTCACAACATTAACAGAGGGTTTCAACCACTTAGATCCAATAGCAGTCGGCGTTTCAATTCTCATTTGTCTCCTCGCATCATTCAGCATCAAAGGCTCATCGAGATTCAACTCCATCGCAACCATAATCTACATGTCTCTAATGTTGTTCATGCTTGTAGCGTTGGGCACAAAAGTCAACACATCAAACTTCCAACCTTTCACTCCGTTCGGTGTCCGGGGGATTTTAAAAGCTTCATCGGTGCTTTTCTTCGCATACGTCGGGTTTGACGGTGTTGCTACGCTCGGAGAAGAAACGAAGAATCCGGGTACGGATATTCCGATCGGGTTAGTCGGATCTATGACGATCGTCATCACGATTTACTCACTTCTCGCCACCGTTTTATGCCTGGCGCAACCGTACAACCAAATCGACAGGGACGCTCCTTTCACGGTGGCTTTTCAGGCGGTGGGAATGAATTGGGCGAAGTATATAGTTGCGTTTGGCGCTTTAAAAGGGATGACGACTGTTCTTTTGTCGAATCTTATAGGGCAAGCTCGGTATTTCACACATATTGCTCGGACCCACTTAGCGCCACCTATTCTGGCGGTGATTCATAAGAAACGTGGAACGCCGATGAACGCCACCATCATCATGACAGCGGCGAATTGTTTAGTAGCGTTCTTCACAAGCCTTGACATTCTCGCAAACCTTCTTTCGATCGCGACTCTGTTTATCTTCTCTCTGGTGGCTATCGCGTTGATTGTGAGAAGATATTATTCCACCGGAGTGACGTCAGATTCCGATAGAAACAAGCTGATTGTGTTTTTGAGTTTGATTATCGCTTCGGCTGTGGGTGGCGGGACTCTGTGGTTCTTGAATTTGAATAGTTGGGTTGGATATGTTATTGTGGGTGGGGTTTGGTTTTTGGCGACGGCGGGGCTGCAGGTGACAGTGAAGCAGGCGAGGAAGCCGAAGCTGTGGGGAGTTCCGATGGTTCCATGGTTGCCGGCGGCTAGTATTGGTGTTAATTTGTTCATCATGGGGTCGATCGATGGAGCATCGTTCTTGAGGTTCTTGGCGTGGACTGGTTTGTTGCTGGTATACTACTTTCTTGTTGGATTGCATGCTTCGTATGATGCATCAAAGGGTGGTGGTGGTGATGGTAACAAGACGGATGTAGAAGGCGGAGGAGTGTCGGCTACTTCTGAAGCTGAACTGAGCACGATAACTACTAGCAGTAAATGAATTCTCGCTTGTTTTGTTTTTACTTTTTACAGTTTTGGTTAATTTTATTGACTTTTGGAATCGTAAATGTAACCCACCACCGTCCACCATGGTGGCCATCATCGGCCATGGTCATGACATGCCACCGTTGTCACTACCTTTAATTTGAATTGCTAGTGTCGACCACCGTGAAGTGGCCCTTTGATTGAATGAACTGAAACTTTGGAACACACATTTTCTTTTTCTTTTTTAAAATTTTTATCAGTTTAAACATGTTTAAGTAGCAAGTTGCATGTGTCATATAAGTTAGGGATCAATATGGACCAGTTTTGATCTTAAACCGAACCTAAACCCATATCGAAACATATGGGTTTGGTTTCTTAGTTTTCATATTCTTTTCCTGTTTTAAACCGAATCCAAACCCAAATCTTAACCGTGAACTTGCTCACAACCACTTGAGAAATCATTATATAAGATGAGGGGGTACATGTTTGTTGTATTAGCCGATGCGGGACTCCTAAGGCTGCAGGGAGTGGCCGTGGTTTGGGGCCGCCTCAACCGCGAACACCGCTCCCTCACTGCGGTCTCCTGCGGTTTTGGCCGCACCACGGCCCTCTATAGCCGTGCAATGTGATTGGTTGGGAGGAATCAGATCAAAATACTAGCGGTTTTTTTTTTTTTTTTTTTTTTTTTTTTTTTTTTTTTTAATTAATAAAATACTATATAGATTTCATTTTTTTCAAACAAAAAACACTCTTATCTTTATTTTATTTAAAAAAATTCACCAATCTCAAAAATGTGTTTTTTTTTTCATGTGTATTTTTTTTTTGGAATGCAATGTAATGTTTTTCGAATTTTCAATGTAATGGGTTTTTTAATTTTCAAGTAATGAAAAAATATGTTGTTTTATTAAAAAAAAAAGTTTATTAAATTTAAGTAGTTATAAAAAAAATTTTAAAAAAAAAAAAGTGTGGCACCACTCTCTTGGTGTGGCAAGAAACCACACTTGTGTGGTAAAAACTAACGTGACGCACATGTAGCGGTGAAAGGAGTGCAGTTTCGGTGACACCACTCCCTCCAGCCTAAAAGCTAAGAGGAAAAGGAAACGTGTAACTTGTTGTATAGATGAGGAATATGGCGGAACTTTCATTTGGGCATCATTGTGGGATGCGTCACGCCAAGAAGAAGACTCAAACTGTAGACATTATTCACAGAGGCTTAACGTTTTAACAACCTGAACCAGCTACAACTTATGATGAAATTAGATAAATTTAATAGATACATAAAATATATTTTTTTAAACTTTATTGAAATTGGTTCGGTTTAGTTTTAGTGGGTCGGTTTCTAATACACAAACCAAACCCAAACTAAATTTTTCGGATTCAAAAAATTAGAACCCAAAAGTGGTGGTTTGTGTTTGATTTCGATTTTTCATTTTCGTTTTTGCTCAACCCTAGTGTAAATTGAAATAAAAAGATAATAAACATTGTTAATAAAGAATTTAGCTTCATTATGTGTTTAGAACATGAGTTATTCATCGTTGTGGAACTAATCACGAAACCCTAATATATAGTTCATGTTAAATGTATGGCTGTTAAAATTAATTAAAAATGATTTAATACAAATATGGGTTGATTGGTAGTCTTTTTAGAGTAAAATGCTTAAATTGGACTCAACATCCAAACTTTGATGTTATCTCATGTATGTTGGTAATTACTTAGTGTAACACTATACTTAAGCACCATTTTATATGGATAAAAATATGTTTATATAAATGTTTTTCAACGATTGTCAAAGTTTATAACTTTTCGGTGTTACAAACAATATCAACAACTATAGTGTAAGTTGAAAGGATTACTAAACCTTCTTTCTTTCCTTTAGTCATCTTCACTATCGTCGCTCTTCTCTTCCGCTTCTATACCCGAGTAAATAGCACAAACTATGTAAGTATGAAGACTCGTGAGTTACATGGGTTTTTAACTCAACTTTGATTCGTTATTAAGTAACCACATACATTCCTAACAAAAATGATCCTAACACATAGGGCCATGGAAAAACAAATCAATCGGAGGCTAGTTGCAACCATGTCAATCCTGAGGTTGTATCACTATTGCCTAACACCCTACTTCCTCATTAAGCCCATGTTGCTACACGCAAGTCTGCCACCATAAGTCTCGTCAAATTCATGCCACTACATGAAAACCTGCAACTGTGAATCTCATCAGATCCATGTCATTATGTGAAATCCTGGAACTGTGAATCTCATCATATCCATGCCGCTACATGAAAGCCTGCAACTATGAACCTCACCCGACCCATGCCGCTACATGAAAGACTGACACTATAAACTTGTAAGGCAATCTAATCCATTCACAAACGCTCTATATAGAGCTTCAAACTTTCTTTATATAGTTTATACTTTTTCTTATTGTCTACTATATAGAGGCATATTACGACATCTATTTCATCTAGCTTTTCATTAAGCTTTTAGCACAAATTCACACTCAACATTTATCATATAACTTTCACCGCAAAGCTCATAATAAATGTATACACATATAAGCTTCTTGCTAATATAGCAAATAACCAAACATACAACTTCTTGCAAGTGACTCGTCTAGTCCTATGCATAGTGTAAGTCCATCCTAGGAGCCATGTAGTGTCGCAATATTTGTTGACTTTTGTTAACTTTTCTTTAATGATAATATACCACCTATCTCAACTTCCGATGACCATAACTTTCTTCTACGAACTTAGATTTTGACGGTCTTCATATCCATGAAACTGTCACAACCCGAACTACGAATTTCTTTTAATAATCATTTGTTAATAACTTATACCATTTTTGTTAATCATTTTCTTAAAAAGTAACAATTTTCGATCGTTACAATCAGACTATATAGATTTAGCTTAATCCAAATGACTAGTGTAACCTTTACTTAAAAAAAATATCAGATTTAACGACACTTGACCTGTATGAAGGCTTAATGTGCATGATGTCTCATGTGAAGAAATTTGGTCCTAAAACATAACTTATTTATTTGCAGCCTATTGGTTTTAGGATTTAACATGTTTTAGGTTTTGTATAGCCCTGAAAGTGTATGTAAGACTCAATGTTGAGCAAGGCATTGAAGTCTTGAAATGAGATGTTATGAGTAATAAGGGACAATATATAGATTTATAAGATAAAAACTAATGAACTCTTATCCTTATTATTTTACATGCTATACCAAATATATCAAGTCACTTTTCAATTATATATGTTACAAAAATGGTCAGTATTTCAATTTTTTTTTATGACTTTGGTTGATTTTTTTTTTTACAAATTTGATCTGAGATTAATTTTTTTTGTTTACAATTAACTTTGTTTTCTAAATAGTTTAAGTTTTTCTTTGAAAAAACTATAGACTTTTTTAGCTATTATGTACTTTTCACAACATTTGTATACTTGTATTACAACTTTTATACAATATTTTATAACGTTTTTAAACTTCAAAAATGGTTCCTGTGGTTTCACAAAATTTGAAGTTTGGTCCCTAATTTTAGAAAACCTCACGGATGGTCCCTGTGGTTTCAAAACTTGTAATGTTTAATCCTTACGACACACTCCGTTACCATTTAGCCGTTAACTTATTTTTCAATATTATACTGCAGGGGAAATTTTGTTATTTCACTTGTAACCTTCACTCTTTAATATGAAATGATTACGTATTGTTTGCACTTCAACTCCACAACTCGTCCCTCTTCTAAGAAAATACCCAGTTACAGTTGTAATCATCGCACCGTTTCCATCTTAGAAGCAAGAACATAAATTGGGATTTAGGGTTTAAGCAGAAGAAATCACAATGGTGCTGTCAATATGGTGTTTTGAGGATAAATCACAATCATGTAGGACTTGGGAAAAAGATAAGGTACGATACTACAAAAAAACTTGTTTTTTTCGTTGATTGTGTTCACGTATAGAAATCATTGACATTACCGTTTCTTTTTTTGTGTTTGCAGAAGGATATGACAACTATTTCACGTTGTAGATACACTACAGTGGTATCTTCACCAAAGCACCTGGAAGGAAATACATTGATGGTATTGTAATATATGTAGATGATATTGACAATGATTTATTTTTAGTTCATGAGCTTGATGACATGGTTCGGAACTAGGGTATAAAACTGAGCAAACCCTTTATTACCGTTTCTGTATCACTGAATACCCTTTAGACTATGGCTTAATGCCTTTAGGTAATGACCAAGATGTACTTAAAATGGTATCGTGCATCCCTAAACACAGACTTATAATGGTGTATATTGAAAATGGTCAGACTAGGGTACTTAGTTATTATAAGTCTCCTTCTAAAGTTGTTATTGAAGAGTTGGAGCCTAATAGTGTGTCACTTAAAATGAATAGAAAGAAACCTTGTAGTAGAGAAGTAGGATCATGTAGTAGAAAGCTTGATTTAAACCAGTCTATAAACCTTGTTTTTGAGCAATTACAGGTATTAGATGTTGATGAAGGGCATGATTACTTAAAGAGTATTCTGCCATATATAAGGTCACAAGTTATCCAACAAAGTAATGTCATTCATGTGGTCAATCATGAAATTGAAACCCAAGAACAAGTGGTCAAGCATGAAACTGAAACTCACGAGGAAGTGGTCAATCAAGAAACTGAAACTCAATAGGAAGTGATCAATCATGAAGTTGAAACTGAAGAACCAGTGGGAACTTCCCATGTAGAGGAACCAAGTTGGTAAGCTGATTAATGGAGTCCATACTGCAACAGTTGATGAATTTGAACCATTTATAAAGGATTATTTAGTTTATGTTGATTATGATGTTGAGTATAATGTCCAAACTTCATGTGAACATTAACCATGAGTGTATTATCTAGAGGGTATGGTGAGTGATGATAGTGGAAAGGCTTTCTATTCTGAGTGGATATGGTTCTGAGGGTAGTGGAGATGATTTTGATGAGAATGACTACAATGTGGATGAGTCTAACATACAATTTGATGTTGATTTAGACATTAATGTATTCCATAATGTTGTTGATGTAGATGCACATGGAATCTTAAACAATCATTCAACAGATGAAGGGAATGACATGATTGATAATGCATTGGAAGTTAATGCTACTGATGATTATCAGTTTGTAGGATTTCATGAAGATTATAGGAAGAGAATGCTTAAGGAGTTGATTAAGTCAAGTAGATGCTCATATGAAGAGATTCATGTAAAACCATTTAAGGTGGGCTAGGTCTTCAAAACCAAGCTTGGTGTTAAAAACTTCATGAATTAACATGTTGTATAAACAAGGAAGTCTCTATACCTATCAAAAAATGACAAAATCGGGATTATGGTGAAATGTAAAGGTGTTGTAAGTCAGTCATCTAAGGCAGTTGATGGCGGTGGGCCCTCAACTAGAAGTAGGGCATAATGTAAGGGTAAAGATGTAATTACCAATAAATAAACATGTCCTTGGGCAGTCCAAATCTCTAGGGCTAATGAAAACCATGATTGTTTGGTGAAAATAGTAGAAGATGAACATAAATGTTTGCAAACAATGGCAGTTAAAGCTTGCACTTCCAGATACGTAGCAAACTTAATTGTTCAAAAAATTCAGAGTAACCCTAGAATTCCAGTCAAAGCCTTACACGAAGAGTTGTGTAAGAAACTAGAGCTAGGAATGTCATTGCAAAAGGTTCCTAGGGTAAATACAATGGTTGAATGTATCATTAGTGGGGACTACCAAGTACAGTATGGATTTTTGATGGATTATGTGTTGGAGCTACTAAACACTAATCTTGGTACAACAGTTAAGATCGATGTGTATCTAGAAACCTCCATCTCTATTACCACAAGAATTTTTAGAAGAATATATGTATGTCTGGATGCATTGAAGTTGGGATTCAAAGTTGGGTTAAGAGATTTTATAGGAGGGGATGGTACATTCTTAAAGGGCCCTTATCATGGGCAAGTGCTAACTGTTGTGGAGTTAGACTCAAACAATGGCATATACCCTGTAGCATATGCAGTGGTAGAGACAAAATCAACAAGTAGTTGGACCTAGTTCTTGGAACTGTTAGGAGAAGATTTGGATCTGGGAGCAAATTCGAAATTTCATTCATTTATGGTAGACAAAAGGTATGTATCACCTAACTATTTTTCTTATTACTATTTCTAGATAGATTTGGGTAATTGATGTTGCTTACATTTACATTTGTTTAGGGAAAAATACTAGCAATTGAGGAGGTATTCCCCAATGCAGAACACATATTTTGTTAGGCATATCCAGGAAAATATGAAGAAACAGTGGAAAGGAAAAAACTTAAGTGACCAACTTTGGGAGTGTGGTAGAGAAAAAATAGTCAACCACTTTAACATAGCAATGTATAAGTTGAAGAAGATCAATGATGAGGCTCATGCTTGGGTGTGTAATATTCCAACAAACACTTAGTCTAAATTTCACTTCAATGGTATGTTTCTAGAAAATTAATGATAAATCTTAATCTTGTTTGTTGTGTTTTACTATATGTGTAATTCTCTTCTCTTAATATGTGTTATACAGGTAAGTCACACATTGATTGTTTGTTGAATAATATTTGTAAGGTATTCAAGTCAAAGGTAGATGAGGGTAGGGATAAACCTATTATCACTTGCTTAGAGTATATTAGAGAGTATCTCATGAAGAGATTGTGTGTGGTGCAAAAGGAAATAGATAAGTGTGAAGGACTACTAACCCCTACATCAACTATAATGTTTGACAAGATTAAGACTGATGCAGCTAAGTAGGTGGCTAAATATAATGGGGCAAGAAAGTCCCAAGTGTCAAGATCATGACAAGATCTGTATGAGGTAAACTTGAATGAGCAAAGTTGCAGTTGTAGGTTTTGGGATATTACATGTTTTCCATGTAGACATGTTGTTTGTGCTATATGGGACAGAATTGAAAATGGAGAAAATGCCCCTACATGTTGATGAATGGGCCCATCCTTTCTATAGGTTATCGACATGGAAAGCCATGTATTTCAACAAAATTGATCCACTGAATGAATATGGCGTAAAAGTGACTGCCCATTCACTTTAAATCCACCAAAATATAAAACATAGGTTTGTATTTTAATTAGGCCTAATATGTAGTTTGAATGTGAACATGCAATTTATTCATTTTAACTGTAATATATCCTTATGTCTAGGTTGGGAGGCCTAAAAAGAAGAGAATGAGAGGTGTTGATTTGCCCAACAGCCAAGCAGGTAAATTGACCAGGAAATATCTAACAGTCACTTGCTCAAAGTGTCATAACAAGGGGAACAATTCCAGAACATGTAAAGAGAAGCGATGTAATGGTCAGGTTGGAGGGGGATGAAAACTATGTTTAGTAGTTATTAGGGTGTTTATGTTGTATGTGTTTTGAAACTTAAATCATGTTTGTTCGTTTGAAATTGTAATGTATGTAAGAACTTAAATCATGTTTACTTGTTTTGAAACTTAGTAGGATGGTTGTGTTAAGAACTTTACAACTTGGCATGAAATGGTGTGTATGCACATTATGGCAATGAATCAATCTGTTTTGTGTACTACCATTCAAAGATTCATTTATAAGAATGTACATTTCAATTGCACATCCAAACCATCCAAAATTTGCATTTACAATACACTTAACAATTGCAAATGAAAAACATTCAAGAAATTAAACATTCAACTATAACAAAGTACATTCCATTACCATTCCATAAAATTGATTTGCTAGAAACTAAATGTAACACCTGATTCCTGGTAAGCATTTAATTCAAGTAATTCTTATTTTTCTCTAGGACTCGACGAGTTAGGGCCCCAACTCGTCGAGTAGACTCGTGATCTGCAGGAAGTTTAAGTGATCTACTCGACGAGTCGGGAGACCGACTCGGCGAGTAGACGCTGTTTAAGTGAAACCCTAAATCTGAGGGTTTGCACCCTATTTAAACAACTTATCTCTCCCATCTCAGCCTCCATCATCCCTTATACTTTCAAAAGACATAAGCCTGGAACCCTAGCCTTGTTTGAGTGTTCTAAGGCCATTTTTGTGCATTTTGGTGAACTCTGAAGCTTGAGAAGAGGAAAGGAGCTTGGGAGTTCAAGTTGAAGCTAGAAGATCCAGAGATTGTGTTCCATTTTCAGCTCATTTAAGGCAAAAAGCTTCTATATTGATCTTCCATGTGTTTAATCATCTTTAGGGCTTGGATTTTGGTATATTTAGGGCATTCTAAGCCATTTTTCGGGTTATGAAGTGTAATATGGAGTTATTGCTTTAGAACTTGGTCTTTGGAGGGGTCTCATGGCATAAAGGTGCCAACTTTATGGCCATGAGAGCCCCATGCATCTTGTAGGTCTTATTTTTGGTCCTTTTAAGCTTAAAGACCCATGCATGGACGTAAAGTTCGTGACTTTACGTGTTATATCGACCCTAAGAGGTCGGATCTACCCTTTGGATGAGATGAGCTTAGTAAAAATCAAGTTTATGGACATGGACCTTAGTGGACTCGGCGAATTGTTCTTGGGACTCGGCGAGTCGGGTAGTGGGTCCCCAACCCTTGTTGTTTTGGGGTCTGGTTGAGTCTAGAGAAAGACTCAACAAAGTTGGACGATGTTATAGACCTAGAAATCATGGGACTCGACGAGTGTGTTAACAAACTCGGCAAGTCCAAGGCAATCTCCCAAACCATGAAGACATACTCGACGAGTTATTCATACAACTCAGCAATTCATAGAGTGAACACATTCTCATGAGGGAGATGAACTCGACGAGTTCAAGGGGAACTCGGCGACTCAGTTGAAGATGGTCCCTATGGTATGATTGAAGGAGAACCCATCGAGTTCTTGCTAGACTCGACGAGTAGAGTTGAGAGTTGTATTGAGTTGGAGGAGTATGGACTCGCCGAGTTGGTAGACCAACTCGGCGAAGTCAACTAGATGTTGACCAATGTTGACTTTGACTTGATTTGAGTTGACCTTGGTTAAGGGTTACAAGTACAACTTGATAAATTAGATTGGTTGTCGTGTAGGGATTAAGGAGTCGAGGAGAGTCGATTTTCACGCCGAGGACAATTCAGACATTACACGACATTGAGGTGAGTTACCTTCCAGTAGAAGCGGGTCTAAGGCACCAAGGCCAACCCACTAGTAGTTGTTTACAGTTGAGATGATTGTCTTTGTGATAATTGTCTGGTTTGCTATTACTTGATATGTTCTATGTGCCAGTATGCTATGTTCTATGTGATAGTGGTAGTATGAGAGGAATAGTCCCTCGATCGATTGTTAGGACCTAAGGGTAGGTTGGACACCCCATATATGTCTGACAACATGTTTACGATATGTTATTGTGTGATAGTAGTAAGGGGTGAAATAGTCATAGTGACCGGGTGAGATAGACCTGAGGGTAGGCAGGCACCCCAGAATGGCCTGGCATGGGTAGTCAGCACCCCATAATGGCTTGACACGGGTAGTCAGCACCCCAGAATGGTTTGACATGGGTAGGTCGGGCACCCCAGAATTGCCTAGCAGCATGTATGATTGTATGGTATGCGGTATGATGAGGGAACTCACAAAGCTTTGTGCTTACAATTTCAGTTTTGGTTTCAGGTACCTCTTCGGAAACCTTGTTTTAACTACTACAACATTATCCAAAGATATCAAGTTTATTTTACACTTAAATTTTGACGCTTATTTTTATTCTTAATTAATAAAACCCTATAATTAAGCAATTAAGCACAAAACACATAATACTCAAATAATACACTCTTATTATTTCAAAACGGGTTACAAAGGTTAACCTAGACTATTTCATTGCTAAAAATGGCAAGCCCGGAAACACAGGCGTTACAATTAACATTTGATCAAACTCAATGATTTTTTTTGGTTAACCACCAGAAGGTTCTCTTGTAACTTGTAGCCTTATGCTTGCATTATTTCCATTCATTTGTTATTATAACATGAATAAACTTCAAAAACATTTGCAGGATTTCACTATCTGGTAGGAAGGTAATGCACCTTAGTCCATGGACTGCACGACAAGCATATAATGAAGGATTCTTTTTCTCTATACGAGTCACCCTAACTTTGTTTTCACCCTTTCACTGATTTAAACAGGGTTTTATACCTAACCGAAACTATTGCTCTTAGCTGGCTTGGGACCATAAGAAATATTGTTGTAATCTATTTTCAATTTGTAAAACCATTCAATTATAACATCATAATTTGACTTTATTCTCTACAACATT